GCTGCAAATTGACAATACCACAGTCAAAGGAACCAAAATCTTTTACCAATATTTCCCTGAGATTTCCTCTGATAATCAAAATCTCAGTCTTAACCCTCATTTAATTTTGAATTTCAACAGGAGGGCCCTGCTTATACAGCAGATTAGGTTCTGAGCTGCTGCTGTAAAGCAGAAATTGCTGTAATGTGAAACATCCATTTTTTCACTTTCAGATGCATATAAAATCCTGATAACATGTTTACACTATCATATACAAGATGCAAAACTCTGTTTCATTCTCCTCTGCATGATGTTCAGAGTTGAATGACAAATACAAGAAAGTGATTTATTATTTTTTTTATTTATTATCACACTGGCTGATTCCCACCAAGGCAGGGTGGCCCGAAAAAGAAAAACTTCACCATCATTCACTCCATCACTGTCTTGCCAGAAGGGTGCTTTACACTACAGTTTTTAAATGCAACATTAACGCCCCTCCTTCAGAGTGCAGGCACTGTACTTCCCATCTCCAGGACTTGAGTACGGCCTGCCGGTTTCCCTGAATCCCTTCGTAAATGTTACTTTGCTCACACTCCAACAGCACGTCAAGTATTAAAAACCATTTGTCTCCATTCACTCCTATCAAACACGCTCACGCATGCCCGCTGGAAGTCCAAGCCCCTCGCACACAAAACCTCCTTTACCCCCTCCCTCCAACCTTTCCTAGGCCGACCCCTACCCCAACCCCACCTTCCTTCCACTACAGACTGATACACTCTTGAAGTCATTCTGTTTCGTTCCATTCTCTCTGCATGTCCGAACCACCTCAACAACCCTTCCTCAGCCCTCTGGACAACAGTTTTGGTAATCTCGCACCTCCTCCTAACTTCCAAACTATGAATATATTTGTTGTAGGAAATCTGAATACATAAACTATGGGTATAATTGAAAACTACTGCATTAGTGAATGCTGTAAAGCAAAGTGCTGTAAAATAGGGCTTTCTTGTATTTGTCATTCAACTCTGAACATCATGCAGAAGAGAATGAAACAGAGTTTTGCATCTTGTATGTTCAAAACCTGGATATAAACCTGTGTATTGTCTGCAAAAAAAAAAAAAAGTGGTAATCAACTCCATGGATATCTAACATAAACAGTAAACAATACTGGTCCATGAACAAAACTCTGAGGAACACCAGAGGGAAAGGAAATAGCTCAGATATGGAATCATTAACTAGTATTTATTATGGCCAACGAAATAGATATGATTTCAGAAGCAACAGAGTAGTATCCTTAGCCCTTTTGGTGTCCATCACATAGAAGTACATCAGGGTCCCTGTTGTAGATTTATGTCATGAGCTCAGCTTACTCAGATAAGCTGTGAGCAGTAAACTTTGGCCTAGATATGAGAGAATGGGTCTGTGCAGTGAGGGTGTGCCGTATAAAAAAATCTGGCCCATACAGTGCATGATGGGAAAACAGAACTGTGACTGTGTATGTGGTTTAAATAGCAGATTTGCAGTGTTTTATCAGATAGATTTTATGGTTTCATTGGCTGTTTCTTGGTATCATTTGATAACCTGGAAGACATACTACTGAAACAGAGCTATTTTGATTAGTTTCAGGACTGGAAGTAGCTTGAAATTTAGCTCAAAGTATGAAAAATATTCAATTTTTGCCAAGATTCCAGAGGATGGGTAAGGCCCTCCTACTACTCCCAGTCACTTTTATGGGTTTTTTAATAGGTCTGATTCAATTATTGGGAGACTGACGTGTAAATTGTGTCCAGACAAACTTTGTGCCTGCATAATTCTGTGAATTTTCAATCAAATTTGGCATTTTTGGTGTCATTACTTTCAGAATATGATTATCTACTATTTGGAAAGTATTTTTTTTAACTGTTCATTATGCACATACATGCCCATGTCCTAATAATTAAAACAGACCTAGTAAAAACCCATAAAACAGACCAGGAGGTTAGGGGGCTCCTACCCTTCCTTAGGAAAATCCCCCCATTTTGAGGCATATTTCAGGCCACTGCAAGTCTGAAACCGAAAAAAAAAATTCTGTTTTACTAGCATGTCTTCTGGTCCATCATTTGACCACAAGAAACACCAATAAAACCATGAAAACCACCCAGGAAAACTCGAAGTTGCTATTTTAACACAAGCACAAGGTCAAAGACTAGCTGTTCCTATCATATGCTGGTGGGGAGGATTTTTTTGTACTGTGCACATCCGCTGCACACACCCATTCTCTCATGTCTAGGCCAAAATTTTACCAATCATAACAAATCTGAGGGTACTGTGATGAAGACGTAGATCCACATGAACATCATTGAAAGGGTCAAAATCTTGAGTTATATTAACCCTTTGAGGGTTTTGGTCGTACTAGTACGTCTTACGCGTAGGGGTTTTTGACGTACTAGTACGCATAAATTCTAGCGGCCTCAAATCTCACAGGAAAAGGCTGATAAGCCTAGATGTGAGAGAATGGGTCTGTGTGGTGGGTGTGCGCAGTAGGAAAAAAATCTGGGACCCAGTGGTGCATTGTGGGAATGCCATCATAGTACACAATTTCCACCGTGCCCTGTGGTAAGAAGTTCCTCACTCCTCGGCGAATTGGGACACTTTTGTTCCCCAGTGACAGTTCTAATACAGATGGAAGTGACAGTGAAGATGAGTTTCAAGGTTCTGGTGAGGTTTTGACCGAAACTAATGACCATAATATGGGTAATAGTGAGGAAAACCCAGACAACCCACAGCCTTCCACCTCTGGTGCTGGGCCATCTTGTTCACGTTCAGTTGTACCAGAATCAAAGAGGAAACTCCTATTTTCCAAAATCCCAGACTCAGATGTGAGCATTGGTGATGATAGTGATAGTGACTATGAACTACAAGCTCTTCAAACTTGTTCCAAGAATGGAGGAGGAGGAGGAGGCAGAGGAGGAGGAGGCAAGAGGAGGAGGAGGCAAGAGAAGGAGGAGGCAAGAGGAGGAGGAGGCAAGAGGAGGAGGAGGCAGAGGAGGAGGAGGCAGAGGAGGAGGAGGAGGAAGAAGAAGAGGGAGGAGGAGGAAGAAGAGGAGGAGGAAGAAGAGGAGGAGGAGGAAGAAGAAGAATACGTAATGATAACAATAATACATAATAATAATAATAATACATAATAATAATTCATAATAATAATACATAATAATAATAATAATACATAATAATTCATAATAATAATACATAATAATAATAATAGGTAATAATAATATGTAATAATAAATGTTCACCCATGACAGTAACAAGATAAGGGGAGATAACATCTGATAAGTGCTGACGTTTGATGAGGGTAGAGCTGATGCCAAAAGATGAGATAAACATCGCCCTCCCTTTGTTTTTGCTGGTATACTAACATTTGTCTGTCTATTTGCCTGTCTGTCAAGCTCCCTGTCTATCCGTCTAGCTCTCTGTCTCAGAGAGCCACAAGACTGCGTCATCACTTTTACTCACATCTTCAAGCAGAGTATAGCACTTTGTCTGGGTTTCTTGGGTTATCCTACGCAATTTATACTATGTATACTTGTATTTATGTGTACCTGTGAGACAGAGATAAAAAGACAGATAGAATGAGGGAGAAAGATAATTAGATAGAATGGAGGAAGGGAAGCAGCATCCGACCCCATTGTTTTGACAGGCGGGAGGGGGAGTGAGTAATGAGACAATATGTCATTTTGACAGCTGCCGACTCCTGGTAATTTACACTATGGAGGAGGAGGAGAAGGAGGAGGAAGAGTAGGGGGAAGAGGAAGAAGAGGAGGAGGAAGAGGAAGAGTAGGAGGAAGAGGAATAAGAGGAAGAGGAATAAGAGGAATAAGAGGAAGAGGAATAAGGAAGAGGAGGGGAAGAGGAATAGTAGGGAGGAAGATTAGGGGGAAGAAGAGGAGAAGAGGAGGAGGAGGGGGAGTAGGAGGAAGATTAGGAGGAAGAGGAAGAAGAGGAGGAGGAGGAGGAAGAGGAAGAGTAGGAGGAAGAGGAAGAGGAAGAGTATGAGGAAGAGTGGGGGGAAGAGGGGGAAAGAGTGGGGGGGAAGAGGAAGAGGAGGGGGAGGGGGGGAACACTAGTACACGGTACTGGTACACTAACATTTCTGTCTGTCTATTTGTCTGTCTGTCAAGCTCCCTGTCTATCTGTCTATCTGTCTAGCTCTCTGTCTCAGAGAGCCACAAGCCCTGGTCATCACTTTACTCACATCTTCAAGCAGAGTATAGCACTTTGTCTGGGTTTTTTGGGGTTATCCTGGGTAATTTATACTATGTATACTTGTATTTATGTGTACCTGTGAGACAGAGATAGACAGACAGATAGAAAGAGAGAGACAGTTGAAAGAGATAGAATGAGGGAGAAAGAAAAACACCATTGTGTATGACACCATGTTTCAGAGTTCCACAAGCTGCAGAACTAATAGGAATATGTTCAGTGACTGTATATTGGTATATATATTATAGAACAATAATAATAAACATGTTTTGTATTTTTTGTTTTTGTAAAAAATTTTTTGTAAACAATAATTGATAATTATGTTTGTGTGCTTATTGTGTTGAATACAACGAGTGTATATATGTACATTGCACCTTACTTTGGTCTCATAGGCCACATAATTTTATGTAAAAAAATAAAATAGTGAAAAAACAACAAACCTTCAAATACAAGTAAACTAAATTTACCGGGTGAGCAGCAGTCGCCGCTGTTGCCATACGCGGCTCATTTTCTGCAAACTTCATGCATCCAATCTCCGTAAGTATTGATGGGGAAATTTTTTTGTTTATCCTATAAGTTTAGGAAAAAAACATTTTTCATAAGAAAAAATTTAATTTTTTTTTTTTTAAATTTGGCCGACCTGAGAACGAGTTTCGGAGAGAGCCTGTCCGACCCTCAAAGGGTTAAAGTAAAGTACAGTAATGGTGGTTTTTGGGAGTATAAAACTTGTTTCTTAACTGTCTTTGATTTAATTTTCAATTTTAATTTTGATTTTCTTGTAGGTTTGCTGCACGACAAGATCAGAGCCACCCAGAATCATGGCTATCTTCAAGAGCTCCCTGTCCAACTTGCCGTTCAACATTTTGCCTTTTTGATGTCTGCATAAAATCTGATCGCTGAGAAAGGAATATATACCTCCTTACATTCTCTTTCACTTTCATTTTTTTCCTCTCTCCTTACTAACTCTCACACCTTCATAACTTCCTCTCCTTACCAACTTCATCTTCCCCCTTCATTTTTTCTTCTAACCTATTACTTCCAGGCATGCCCTTACCTGGAGTATGCCTGCAGAGAGTTTCAGGGTCAACGCTCTTGCGGCCCCGGTCTGTGACCAGGCTCGCTGTGAATCAGGGCCCGATCAACCAGACGCTACTGCTGGGTGCACGCAAGCTGACGTTTAAACCCCAGCCCGGCTGATCGGGACTGACTTTAAATGCCGTCCACACCTTCTTTAAAAACAGCCAGGGATCTATTGGTAAAATTCCTATATCCCGGCCACATGCAGTGTCTGCTGCCCGTCATCACAAATGACTGTCACGCCACGATGCATTCCCGACTTCATTACGTCACGATGTCTGGCCTGACGACCACCTCGAGATGTCTCTTACTTCACCTCGAGATGTCTGCTGATGTCACAGTGCTGCTGACATCACTAGCGACATCATGCCTGACATCACATGATGTCACCATCGGTGTTCAGTAAATTATATTAATATTGTCGAGAAGAATGGGAGAGAAAATTAAATGTCGTGTGTTTATTAATCCTCACAGTCGTGTTCTCACATTTTAGTATAATCTTAGGACAGTTTTATGCACAGCAATGTATCATTTGCTAGTTTTAAGCCAATTTGTACCGCAGTGTGAGTGTAAATTTTCCATGTGTCCAGTGGAGGTCTAGGCAGACCTTAGTAGCCACAATTGTGCTAATCACCCGTGTGACCAGTACGTTTTGACAGCTATGTCAAGACAGTACCGAGTGACCGAGCCCTCAGTGTACAGAAAGCTTTATGCTCGTCGCACGTTGTTGTTCTGCAGAATCGGAACTGCTACGATTCCCATCGAGATTTGTTGTCACTTTCACCTCCAGACCTCAGAGTGCAGTTATATGTTAGAGAAACAAGTCTTGGGTGACACTAGAAAAAACCCCTGCTATAAACTCCAACTTCCGAGAGAATGACACGCTGTGTCAGCCTACGTGTCACAAGCGTCATGAGCAGCCTGCACAAATGAAGATGTCACTTTGACTGCTAGCTCTCTCACTGCAGTCAGGGGTGAAATGATTACAACTCCCAGATTTTCGCCCACAGTCGTCACTGCCTCCGACCCGCTCCACAACTCGTGCTCCACGCTCCCGCAGTGACAGCCCAGCGACAGTACCAGTCGAGAATTGTCCTCCTGATTCGCTTGTCCAGAAGTCCTGCCCAGTTGCCGAGTTTTGTCGACGCCTCACTCGAGGGCACCACATGTTCGTGCCCCAGGTTTGAGTGAAAACCTGCAGCGACTCCTACGATGTCTGCTTCCCATTCCAGAGAACCAATACCCCAGTTACGTCACGCTCAGCCGCAGCGATTTCCTCCCGTGTTGCAGTCTCTGTCCAGAGAAGCAGGAAGGCGTGCAAGTGATGCCTTCGTCGCTCACTGCCTATGACCACGATGTTTATCACACCCCCACAGTTTTTTTTCTTCCTCCCTGTAGGAAGTTTTATTTCCAGTTCTTATGTATATATACATAGTTTTTATTTTGTGGTTCTGTGCCTGTTCCTACGAGAGAGAGACCGAGTTTCTTTTAGACTACCAAATCGTCGGTGTCGGGGATGATTCGCGGTAGGTGGCCGAGCATAGTGTACAGCCTGTATATTGTCTGCACAGACAGCCCATGGCTGTCTGCAGCTTAGTTTCAATTTCGCGCCAGCTGGTGCTGCCACCTAGAGTCCTTGCCACTTCAGTATGCCCAGACTTGCCTCACTCTCACGCACACAGCGCCTATCAGCAAGACACAAGGCCCTCCCATCTCCTCACGGTCGTGGGCACAACACAAGCCTGTTACCCACTACGACTTAATAACGAAGCCTCGCAAAGAAGTTTATCATTTAACTACCCGCTTGCTACAGCCTACCAAACAAGCCTGTTAAAAGAGGTGCTCATTGTCCAAGAAATTTTGAATAAAAAAAAAAAAAAAAAAATTCTACAGAATTAAAGAAGTAAATTTTTTGGTGAAGGTAAAAGACAAAAAAAAAATATTTCTGATCAGTACTTACCGAGATACAGTGCCGAGAAGTTTTCCCCAAAATTACGTGGTGGCATCAACATCGACGATTTCCACATACACACATTACTTTATTTAACATTTTTGTAGTTTATTCTATTCTTTTCTAATTTTTTTCTTTTCTCCTACTAACATCTGGGCCTGAGAGACCAATACGTATATAATGTTATATATATAAACTCACTGTATTGAACACCATAACCGCACTAAAGTTATTATCAAATATGTTTACTCACTTTTGTTTATTACAATAAACATGCCAACAAATCTTGTAATAATTACTAATGTTCTACATATAAATACATCACTGGACATGGATTTAGACTTTGCTGGAGCATGTGGAAACTCCATACACAAGGCACATGCACAAGTACCATACATACCCACACATAAACCGAGTATCTTAGCGTCTATGTTGCCGTCGTTTTGTTTGTGCACAGACAACACATCTCATACTTAGCAAAATTTCTTCTGAGTTGAAGGAAGCTGTATTATGAAATGATCACCATCCTCCTCAAATGCTTGGGTATACCTGGAGATTTCGAGGACCTAGTTTGTATAGCAAGTGTTGTTACGCTGATACTTCATTATGAGATATTTCTGACAACAGACAAAACAAAATACACCATACAGTGGTCTGTTGTTGCCAGTCTTCATTTGGTACATATTATAGGCAATGAGCATTGAGATGTCCATGAGATGGAAGAAAAGTTTTCAAGAACGCACTTTGTAACTTTACAAACATAAACAATCAACAAAGCCAATTTTGCATGTTACATTTGTCACCGAAAAAAAAGCACAAGATTTGATGTATAATCAATCACTGTCACTGGTTTTCGAATCTACGTTCAATAGACAATCGATCAACAATGCCACTGTCCTTTTCATTCGTTACGGTGAATGGTTGTCCAACAATGTGGACATCACGTTTTTGTCATGCCACCGTAATGTCATGATTTTCACTGGCAGTAAACACCGGCACATCATCACCACGAGCACCTGCGTTGAGCCTGGGCATATGTGTTTTTACATTAGAACCACTGTGCAACACTCATCTGACTTAGTTCACTCGCACGAAATCACTGAGTAAAAGGCTGTGAGTACCAGTGCTAACGGTAAAAATAATGAATGCCCCTTACCGAAGAACGGTGTCCATCATGCTTCTCCCTACATCACCAGAGATACCCAAAACATCTTGGTATCTTTCAATGTTTTACTTCTCGTGTATACCACAATATCCAAATACCAGTGCACAGTCAACATCACAGAGTACAAACAGTTTTATACCAAAGCTTTATCCTCTTGCTCTGGATAAACTGCATGAATGACAGCTCTACCTTTGAACAAAATATAAAAAAGACTCGCAAATACAAGATTCTTGAATGAGTAAAAGTACTTGCTGAACTTTTGTTGAATACATAAAAACCATTTCTAATTTTGTAATAACTCTTTCAATTCTGTCAGGCCTGGCTTTGCAAGAGAAGTGCAACAATACGTAACAGGAAGAAAAACCTGTTTCAACTAGGATGAATTCACTGAAACCGGGGTAGAAATTAGCCGATCTGAGGGACCAGGTATCTTTAAAATTATGCTTATAGACATGAGGCATAATGTAATATTGTTAGCAACAAGCAAATACATTCTTCAACAGTGTCTCTTTCCACAGTTGTATTCTTGACTTTGTGATATGAACGTATTGCCATGGTGTAACTTAAAATACTTGTTACTTTCCCTGACAATAATTTCCATCAAGGCTGGTCAAAGAATATTTCAAAAAAATTCCAGTTCATTGGCCGTGTTCCAAGGGGAACAAGTAAGGTAGAATTCCACTTTGATAGTCATCAAAGTTGGTGAGGGTTTAGGAACAAAATAGGGAATATGCTGCCAATCCCCAGATATTGTTTGCTGGTGGATACTGGAACATCATAGGCTGGTTTGTGAAGTAAGTAGTGGGTTGTGGTGGGCTGTAGGCAACCTCCGCTTTGTCCCTTGAACTGCGGAGTCAGCAGCGTAGTCCCAGCCTGGGTATGGTGGTCACGCATGGCCGTGGCCCATACCATCACCACAATACCACCATCTACTGATGCCTGTAGGCTATCCAGCCAAGTATAGCCACATTTATCCACACTATCAATGTCTATACCTGGTGTAGGGCCACGGATGTACTCCGGGATGTATTCCGTCCCCTGGGCATGGCAATAGGGTAAACTACCCGAGCGCATTCGGCTGTGCATAAGCCACACCAACGCGTTCACGTGAATATGTTTCCTCACGTATCACTACTCGAATGATCGTCAATAGCAATAAAATCACAATCACGTCACTATCATCATCATTACTGATGTCAGATGGCCTGGGCCACGCGAAAATAATAGTTTTCTCTTGCGTTTGAGGTTACAACTGTACATGTGACTGAGTAGTGCCCCACACCAGAGGTAGAAAAGGTTGAGGATCGTCATGGTTTTCTGCACTATTATCGATATCCCTGTGTCAATACCTTTCGGTCACTAACTGATCAAAGCCAAAGAAGTTGTCTTCATTACCCACTTCCAACAGTGTCAGAACTATCAGATAGGAAAGGAGAGACCAAAATTTTCCTGGAGTGAGAGCCCTTGCCTAGCGAAAGTAATGGTGGAATCAAGGGTAACGAGCCGGCGTTCCCACAATGCTAAGCTGCGCCTAGAATTTTTTGTTTATGGCACACACCCCCCACGCAGTACCCTTATTCCCTCCACATGTAGGCCTATGAGCATTTTCACGCTTCACGGTTTGGACACACCATCCTGAAGCCGAAGATCTACGAGGACGGACCCTGAAAGGGTTAATATATAATTTTATATATTTTTAGTTATTTTTTTATTTTGGAGTGAGAATAACAAGTTAAGGAAGCCTAGAAGAACAAATGTATTTAGTCAGTTAAAAATAGGAGAGGAGGGATATTAAATGGATGGTTTAGAGGTATTGGAAGATGGAGGTAATATTTTGAGTTGAATTGTTAAATTTTGATGAAGATAGGGAAGCTGTTATTTCGT